GAGCTCCAAAAGCTCGAGAAACAAGCATAGTGACGAGTCAACAGTTCACACATTGCACCTTCTTCTAAACTCACATTTCCAGACAGTTGAAACAAAAATCCGCTAAATGCACCACATGTTGATTAAACCCATAATCAAAATTATAGTTTCGTCTTATTGGGATGAAGGATGTACCACCTACTTTTCTTCATCTACCCTAGCTGCTAACCAAAATGCTTCTAGTTTTTGATGATCGTGGGAGAACACGATTAACTGTTCTAAAATTGATCACTTTGGAGGAAAAAAAATGAAGAGCAGTTTAACGAATTTCCAACACAATTGTAATATTTCGACTTAAATTTAGCCAATGATTCATCATCCCCAAATGTTGCTTTAAAAACCCTCACTACGTCCCAAACCTTCATCTTCCCCGAAACCTTCTTCCTCGAAACCCTTATCATTTTTGTTGCAGTTCCTTTCTCTTTCCTACATCTGCTTCCTTCATCGATATCATGAGCTCCGACATGTGGTTTGTAAGGGGAAAAAAGATGAAAAGGCTAAGAGGTCAATAGAGGAAAATAAAGAGACTGATAATATGTTTGACTATGGAGGAATTTATGACAAGACAAATACATGGTATTTTTTTAATAACAAGGCAAAGCTAACCGGGTTGCCTCTTCAAAATTTCAAAAATGACCATTTAAATACGACAAAACACACTTTATGCCCCCATAAAGCACCAAAAACTTTTAGGGACTGATTAGATGAAATCCATAAAAATTGTAGGGCTAAAGTGTCATTTCCCCTTTAAAGAAAGAAAAAAAATGCGAGAAGAGCAGTCAACCGAAGTTCAACGGGTGGTAAGTCACATTACTCAGTTACGTGTTCTACGTATTAGAAAGTTAAGAGTATGTATATCTTGATGTTCAGCATGTTAGAATTGTCTGACAATGTTAAGGTTAAGTATAAGTATGTTGTGTACTACATTATAGTGAAAAGGGAAACTTCGTGAGATTTCCATAAACAAATACCTATCGGTTTGGACGGTAGTAATGATTGTACTACCGAAAGCACATGACAGATATTGACCGTACTTCCAATTTCCATTCAAACGATTGAATTTCAACCTACACAAACTCTTGTATTCCTTCTACTAGAACAACATGCATGTTCGAAGACCTCATCACCATTCACCTTCATGAAGGCACGCAGTAAAGTAAGTTTCTTCGACGAAAAACCCTTATTGCTAGTTAATCTATCAATTATTTGTTTGGTTTATAATATGTTTCTTGTTTGTTATTGGATTTATATGATTCTCTGTTGGTGATGGTTTCATTCTTATTTCCTAAATGTATCAATTTATCCCTTTCAAAAATGTGTTTCTCCAACTTAGTTTGTCTGTATTCACCAACTGTATGATGAAATTCCTAACTGAAAAATAATGTATATTTGTTTTGTTAATTTTCATGTTAAGTGTGATGTTCCCATGATCTTGTTTATATGGAACATAATAGTTTAGGGATCATAATTGTTTATGTTTCCTATAAATTAAATCATTTAATATAAGTTCTATTAAACAATTTTGACCTTAATGTTATACTTGCATAATTGGATTCATAATTTTGAAAAGTCTTGACATAAGTATCACTCCCATTTTATTGTGCAATGGCAAGCATGACTTGTTTGGCTTTGGTTGAAAAAGAGAGAGTTGACATCCTTAAATTTGTCATTAGTCAAGAAAGGTAACTTTATTCCTAACGTTGGTGGGAGGTTTCTTGTATATATGCATCGATTGTATTAGGTGGTATGATATAAAAAAACTAAAAACAAGTTCTACAAAAAATTCACATTGATTTTATGAGGCCCGAATGTATCAACAAATTTGCGGGTAATTTGTAGATATACCCAAATATACCATATCCGAATTAAAACCTGATCTACCCGAACCTTAATACCCAAAGTGTAATACAAGTCGGGTACCAGTTATTATCTAAAAAAAAATTTGAACTACCCGACCCATACTATCCGAATATCTGATCAACACCTCTAGATCCAAGCATAAGTACAAACAAATGTTAACATTTTTAACGGTTAGGGATAATGACTTAAAAGGGTAATATATTTTAGACAAAACTGCACAAATGGTCCCCGTAGTTTGCTGAAAATTGTCACTTTGGTCCAAAAAGTTTTGGACTAGCACCACAGGTCCAAACTTTTCATTTTGTTGCAAGTTTGGTCCAATTTACTTTAAATTTTTTTGTAATGACGATTTTACCCTTCTTTTTTGTTTTTTTCAGTTTATTTATTTATTTAAATATTTTCATAACTAAAAGAAAAATAAAAAAGAAAATATTCTCTCTCTCTCTCTCTCTCTCATCTGACTACTACCTCCATCTCCGACTAAATGTTTTCTACTTTCACAATCTAAAATGAAAATAGGGCTTTTAATGGCATTCCCGTGTTCAATGTATGATCGGGCAATGGATAAATGCGTATGAATACAAGGCAGCAGAAGGAACGGAAGCGTCATTGCAAGTAGAGGAGAAATCGAACACCAACTTCGATTTTGGGGGGTTTGATCCTTGGTTCCTTGCTTGTCGCAGACCAGAAAGGGGGACCGAGGGAGGTATCGGCGATTGCAGATGGTGAGGAGGGAGAAGTCTCTGGGTCGACAAGAGCGAAGCAACGCAGGTGGGAAGAAGCATCGAGCGGCTGTGATTTCGGGGCTGCTGGGCCGTGGATGAGTAAGGGGAAACACCCTCGTTGTTTGAGTGAACCGAAGAAGGGAAGAAGAACGGGGCAGTGAGGCTGTCGTCGAACTTGGTGGGTTCAGCGAGGGCTGCTAAAGCAGCTCTTGGTTGCTTGTTTCTGCTCCAGCTGTGGATCGCGAGCGGGAGGAGGGAATGAGCAATGAAACATCGGTGCAGGTGGGGAGGCTCGTGGGTTGGTCGAATGCCCACAGGTCGTTTACTTCTTCTTCTTCTTTTTTTTTTTGATAAAAATTGATAGGATTAAGCAGGTGTTTGGGATTGATTCTTGACAGAAATTTATGAATGGAAAGGATTTAATGTTTTGGGGTTAAAATGTTTTACAGGGGATCCATGGGTGTTTGTTTGTTTTGCTTGATAGAAATCGATGGGTTTAAATCAATAGCTTTAGGTTGGTGTTTTGTTTTGCTTGATAGAAATCGATGGGTTTAAATCAAGTGTTTGGGAATGTATAAGTTTGAAGAACATCATCTGAGTTTCCAAGAAACAAGAGAGGGAAGAGTGAATGTTGGAAGTCCGGAACCCTTGATCGAGAGAGAGAGAGAGAGAGAGAGAGAGAGAGAGTTATTTTCTTTTTTATATTTCTTTTAATTATGAAAATATTTTAATAAATAAAAAAACGGAAAAAAAACAAAAAAGAAGGGTAAAATCGTCATTACTAAAAAATTTAACGTAAATTGGACCAAACTCGCAACAAAATGAAAACTTTGGACCTGTGGTGCTAGTCCAAAACTTTTTGGACCAAAGTGGCAATTTTCAGCAAACCACAGTGACTATTTGTGTAGTTTTGTCTATATTTTTCGATTTGTACACATTTGGTCACTGAGTTTTTTTTTTCGTCCACATTTACCCCTTCAACTTGTTAAACTGTATACATTCGGTTCTTATGACCGGCTACTCCAGGTTACCCGGTAAAAATGACTTAATGGGGTAATATATTTCTCACTTTGTACACATTTAGTCCTTAATATTTTTGTACACATTTAGTCCTTTTTTTTTTTTGCAAAATAAGTCATTTTTTTGTACTCATTCAGTACTTATGAATGATTTTTTAGTTTTTTCTCACGAAATCTTACGTGAGACATTCATTAATGAGGTGTATGAGGCTTTTGATGCTTATATCCATCGCGATCTCGACTACTTGGTTGCTTAGGTCATGTGTTCTGAACGTCATAACTTCTTTATATGATCTCAGATTTTAACGATCTTTATATCCATGCGTTCATATTTTTAGTCTACTACAACTTTCATTTAGATTAGTCACATTAAAAAATAATATAGTTTTACTTACGATTTTTATATCCATACGCGGTGGCGGATTTAGTATGGTCCCGGTGTTGCACTGACAACACCTGTTTTTTCTGTTCGCAGTGGAAAATTTTTCGCTTTTTTTTTTCGTTTATACCTATTTTCCATGTATCGGCAATACCTATTTCATTTCGACAACACATACTATGTATTACTGCGTCTTCTCCTGTCCATACGTTTTTTATGAATGCATGTATGTATGTTTTTTTTATAAAATTGTTAGTAAAAATATATTACATTTTAACGGGAGTAATCTTAATGAAAGTTGTAGTAGACTCAAAAAATGAACACGTGGATAAAGATCCTTAAAATCTGATATCGTATGAAGAAGTTACGATGTTCAAAATACAAGACGTAAGCCAAACCACAAGACTTACACAACCAAGCAGTCGAGATCGCATTGGACATAAGCATCAACAACCTCAAGCACTCATCAATGATTGTCTCACGTAGGATGTCGTGAAAAAAACCTAAAGAAATCATTCATAAGTACTGAATGAGTACAAAAAATGACTTATTCTGAAACAAAAAAAAATGTTAATGACTAAATATGTACAAAAATATTAAGGACTAAATGTGTACAAAATGAAAAATATATTACTCTATCAAGTCATTTTTCCCGACTAACCTAGAGTAACAGGTCATAAGGACTGAATGTGTACAGTTTAACAAGTTTAAGGGGTAAATGTGGAAGAAAAAAAACTCAGTGACAAAATGTGTACAAATCGAATAATATGTTACCCTTTTAAGTCATTATCCCTAACGGTTAACTATAGAAGAACAATAAAATATGAAAAGCAAAAGAAATAAGTATAAAAGAAGAAGAATAATTAAAAGTTATGGGGCTAATTTGAACCTAAAGAACTTACGGGGCCCACATGGAGCGTATTTGATCAACTGACAACCATCCGTCCGCTCCTCCGGTCTTCACTCGCTTGTTGCCGCCCTTTTCCATTTTCAAAAACTTCATCTTTCTTTTCATTATTTTAACTCCAAAAATTCAAAATTAGACACCCACCCTTACAACTCAAAAGGAATTACATCATTATCATCTCTGTTGAATTCAGATTTCAGGCACTTATTTTCGATAAAAATGGATCCCCATCCTACACCTTTTCCTGGTACCATGATCTTGTTCTTATCTTGATGAATTTTAGAATTTTTTTTTTACAATTCCATTGGTGATTAACCCTTGATTTCTCCATTTCTTCGATTGTTCAACACAGGAAACAAAACCCAATCAGTGAAATCAAAGTACAAAAAGATCTCTGAAGCACCGAAACAGAAAACCAAAGAAGCACCTCCTCCAAGGTGATAAGATAGAACTCGTGTAGTCGTGTATCTAGTTTTCTCTCTTAGGTGTTCTATCCCGAATCAACAAATATGTTTGTATAATTTCAGGCACCGGAGAACATTTGGTACGATAAGGAATCCCAATGTCCCAGAAAAGCCAGTTTCCGAAAAACCGAAAGCAAAATCTTCGAATCAGATCTCTTTAAAACCACCGGAGATTGCACCGGTACCAAAAGCAGAACTGGCAAACAATACCCCTCAAAACGGGAGCAACGACAGAGCAGCGGTGAGGAAGAAGAAGAGCGTCGTATTCTCTGAAAAAGTTGAGGGATCTGCGAGGAAAAACTCTCCCGCTAGAGAAGTTGACGGGGTGGTCAAAACTCCGGTGAGACCACCGTTTTCAACCAAACCTGTTAGAATTCCGGGGACACCGTATCTCAGTGCTGAAAAATGTAGCAGTTGCCGGTTTGATAGGCTGGAGACGGCGTCGTATTGGCTCGGTCAGATCAAATCGTCGGAGTTCGTCGGCAAGCATTTTGTCTCCGCCGCTTTCTTCCGGCTTGCTAATGATTGCAAAGCAGAGGTTTTTTATTAAAACTCTTCGTTTGTGTTCGACTGTTTTCACTTATACATAGTATTTTTAATCTTTAAACGCTTCTCTTATCTACTTTTTTTCTTATAATTTTGTATAGCCTACTCGAAATCTTCAAACAGAGCTAAAGAAATATTTAGGTCGCCATCAGTACTTATCTACCAGGACTGAATGGAAAGATGTGTCTCGTATATATGGACTAATGGGTGAAGGGTGTGCAACTAAAAGCAAAGAAGACAATGTGAACTTTGTTTATGAAGTCACGACTACACAAAGTGGTTCCAAGTGTGTACAAGAACAAATAGAGAATGAGAATGATGAGGTGAAAAACATATACGAAGGAGGTTAGTTTTAAGTAATTAAATGTGTTTTTCTAGGGTGATTATGAAAGTGTGTGTTATTAGATTTGATGTGTGGTTATTTTAGTTTGTATTGATGTGTCGTTATTTTAGTTTTCATTGTGAAAATTTGAGTTGTCTTTTGTGACATGTATACTTTTAATTACATAAGGTTTGCTATTGGATATTAGAATTTCTATTACAAAAAGTTATAGGTTATAGGTTCTCATAGTCTTAATATCTTGTATGATTGATCCAAAATTTTTCCTTTTTCACATTCGATTGATATTTATATTTTACCCGTAAATAATTTTTTAATAATTTTTTTATTTAAACTTTATAACTAAACCAAACTCACCCCACCTTACCTTCTCTCATCTTCTTTGACCTGCATCTTCTTCACCACTTTATATGGGATGCAAACAAGACAAACTTCTCGTGTGCTCGGTATCGATTCGTTTAAAACTCGACTTAAAATCGATTTTTAAACCGAGTCGAACTCGAGCTTAAGAATAAACTTGTTTATTAAACAAGCTTGAGCTCGAGTCTGTGTTATTATGTGCGATTAGGCTCGTGAGTCTAACGAGCCTACATATATAATATAAAATTTAGAATTTTATTTTTGTACATTAAAATAAATAAATATTTAATAAACACCATTTTCGGGAATTAATGTATATTGTATACGAGTCGAGCCCAAGCCTATATAACTCCAAACGAGCCGATCTTGAGCTTTGTCCCATAAGGCTTGAAACAAGCCGTGCTCGAGCTCATTTGCATCCCCACCCATTCTACTGAAATTCCTTCCCCATTCTAGAGAACCCCATTAAAGTGTTTAAAATCGGCTATATGAAAATTCCAAATAATGGATATTAATATCCTAAAATTTAGATATCTGAATTTTTGGATAGATATCAAATCAGATATCCAAAAATATTGCCACTTCAATTTTTTTTACCAATATCACTAGGTTACCAAAAAAAAATATTATTCAATTGTGATATAAAGATAAAACAAATACGTTTATGTTCATTTATTCAATATACATACTATAATCCAACCTAATTTCATTTCACTGATTAACAAATAATTTAAATACAATAACTTACTACTTATTAAGAATATATTGTGTTCTTATTAATAAAAAAAGTCACTGATATGTTATTATTTAATTCTTATTTAATTATATATTAAGTTCTAAAAATCGTGTCATGACTTCAAGGTTTGTATTTGACGCTACGTTTTAACAAAATATCACCTTAAGTCCATAGGCAGATCAGGGTCAAAGTAAAGGGGTAACACAAAGAAAATTGTAATATAATACAATAAGAAAAAAATAAAAACCGCAATTTCATTAGAGATAACAAAGTTATATTTTAGAGTTCATCTTCGCTCTTTCATTTTCAAGTTTCAACAACAAATAACCACTAACTATTAACCCTATGTCCCTAATTTAACTTGATTTCAAGTTCCAACAAGTAATCGCTACTATTAACCCTAAGTCCTGAATTTAACAAACCTTATTGGTAATTTCTAATTTTTCAACATAATGCCAAAAAAATGGAATTTGAAATAACCTAAAAATAAATAATAGGATTGAGTTTTTTTTTATTTACTTACTTGTTTCATTATGCAAGTTGACCACCGTCCACCGGCGGAGTTCGCCGGAAAAAGTCGTCGGCAGCAGCTTGAGTGTGCAGAGGAGGGAGGATACGGAGTCACAAACAACGACAGCAACACGATTTCTTCTTTCGATTTTTGCAAAACAATAAAATTAGGCTTCTAAATTTCTTTGTTTCATTAAACTAATTTGTCTTTTGGACTTAAAAATTTGGACCACTTAAATGTATCAGACATTTTGACAATTTTAAATATTTTGTGCTATATTGTATTTGGATTTATAATTTAGGATTAACCTAATTTCTTTTGAAGGTAGCCCAATTTTTTTTTTCCGAGGTATCACCGGCACATAAAATGAAAATTTTCGAAAAAATTTACACTACTAGACAAAATTTGAGGTTCGTAAAAGCTTGATATTGCCGCCAAATCACGCTTAATATAATTTAGAACCTTGATAAACATTAGGTAATGACAAAATTACAAGTTTGGTCCCTCTGGTATGTTAAAAAATGGGATGTTTGGTCCAAATGCTTTGGAGTTGCACTACTCCTCAAAAAAATGAATTCTATTGCAGGTTTGGTCCAAATGTTTTTGAAAAAACTTAAAATGACTGATTTACCCTTCATATTTTGTTTTCTTATATTTCTTTTATTGCATAAAGTAAAAGAAAAGACAAAAAGAAAATATCACCCACCCTCCCCCTGAAACATCCCAAAAATACAGTCCAAAATTTTCGTTTTAAAACTTCTAATAAAACCATGAATCATCCATCAACATAAGAAAATCAAGAATCATGTATCTCAAAACATCATGTCAAATGCTGTGTCAAAATCATATGAGAAAAATATCAGAGTCTAAACATCCTAGGCTATAACTATGGTGTGTGCCATGCGATCATACCGAGCCCTTCCCCTTGCTAGTGGAAGTACCTGAAACCAAAACTGAAAACTGTAAGCACGAAGCTTAGTGAGTCTCCCCAAACTACCACATACCAAACATATAACATGCAACTAACACATACGGACCCCGCCCACTGTCATGGAGATTCGGGCCTCGCCCACACTCCGCTGTCTAGGAGATTCGGGCCCAAGCCACACTCCTCTGCCTAGGAGATTCGGGCCCCGTCCACACTCAGCTGTCTAGGAGATTCGGGCCCCGTCTACACTTCGTTGTCTAGGAGATTCAGGCCCCGCCCACACTCCGCTGTCTAGGAGATTCGGGCCCCGCCCACACTCCCCTGTCTAACATGCATACAAGTATCACACAAACAACAAGTATATCTACTCCTATCAAACAATCACATAACTATACTCAAATAATACAACGAGTTTCGGGCCTTGCCAACACTCGTCTGCTATGAGATTCGGGCCCCGCCCACACTCAGCTACTATCATATCACATATACGGGCCGACCTTGGTGCCATAGACCCGTTCCTACTGAAGGAAACTCACCTCGCAAGACTAACTGCTAAAAACTCGAGTGAGGAATCTCTGACTGCTGCTCCGGCGACTCCCCGGCTATCAATTTCATAAGAACACTTAATCAAAATCTGATAATCCTTCCTAGGGTAAAATGACCATTTTACCCTTGGTCAAATTCAACGCTTGGGTCAAATTCAGCATTCTGATTGACCCAACTCATCGAGTTACTCCATCAACTCGTCGAGTTCTAGATCCTGAAATCGCGATCTAACTCGTCGAGTTTCCATGCTACTCACAGTCGCAATTTACCGCTTTGACTCGCCGAGTCCCTTCACCGACTCGTCGAGTTCTTCCTGAGGCTAAAACGGGACAACCCACATCAACTCGTCGAGTCCCTCTAAGGACTCGTCGAGTTCCTCTGTCTGATTGAGCCATCTTAACAGATTAAGCCCTTGTTCTCCAGATCTACAGCCCCTACTTCGCTTGTTCACTGGAAATAACCTTTATAAGGGTAAAGTTTCCAACTTTACCTGTTGATAGCCCTTCTTGAAGGGTTTAGCTAAAACCATAATTCCTTTAGAACATAGATCTTGTCCAAACAGCCTTAGTATTCCAAACCAAAGCATGAAAACCTAGATCTAGGGCCTAGATACCAGTTAACCACATAAAGTCTCGAGCTTGCTTCCATGCATGGCCCCTTTGGGGCTTAAAAGGCCATAACAACATCCTTAAGGTTTGCATGAGACTCAAATAGCATAAAGTTTACACCTTTATGCCTTTACAGCCCTTAATGACTCCGAATCTGAAATATAATCAACTTGGGGCTTCCATGACTCATAAATCATGCTACTTGGACAAAAACCCCATAAAAGTGACCACAAAGAGATCTAAGGAACTATAAGGCAAGTTAAGAGCTTGATTGCCAGAAAGTGATGCGAATGGAACGAAATCCCTGGATCTATAACCTTCTCCTTGAACCTTCATGCTCCTTCTTCTTCTTCTAGGCTTCAAGAACACACAAAACACTCAAAGATGGCTCACACACTCCCAAAATGCTCTAGGGTTTCGTGGATTAGGGTTTAGGACAAGGAGGCTGTAAATGAGGCCAAGGGTGGGGGTTAGGATGCTTAAATGGGGTGCAAACCCCCGAAATTAGGGTTTCACCCTGGCCGAGCTACTCGCCGAGTCATGGACCTCGACTCGCCGAGTAGATAACTCAAACCCCACACATACTCTGCCCTCTACTCGATGAGTTAGGGCCACCAACTCGTCGAGTCCTTCTTTTAAAATAAGTAGATAATTAAATTAAGTGTGTACCAGGGAACCAGGCGTTACAATTTCCCCCCACTTGTCTTAGACTTCGTCCTCGAAGTCTGCTGCATCTAGAAACATCTCCGGGTAGTGCTCCCTCATCTCCTCCTCGGGCTCCCATGTCCGAACCCTTACGGTGCTGCCACTGCACCTTCACTAGCTCAACCCTCTTGTTCCTCAGCTCCTTCATCTTGCGATCCAGAATCGCCACCAGTCACTCAATGTAATTCAGGCTTTCATCAACCTGAATATCCTCTAAGGGCACAACTGTCGTGTCATCCACCAAGCACTTCCGTACCTCGGAAACATGGAAAGTGTTGTGGATTTGGCTGAGCTCTGAGGGAAGATCCAATCGATACGCTACCTTGCCCACCCGTGTAATGACTCTGAAGGGGTCGATATACCTGGGGCCCAGCTTGCCCCGCTTCCGGAACCGGATGACACCTTACCAAGGTGACACCTTTAGGAGGACCATGTTGCCCACCTGAAACTCCACGTCTGAACGCCGCTTGTCGGCGTAACTCTTCTGCCGACTCTGAGCAGTCTGAAGCCTGCTCCGGACCTGCTCGATCTGCTCTGTGGTCCTGAGTACTACCTTCGTAGTCCCCATGTGTCACACCCTGGCCGTCGGCGGAAACACCGGGCAGTGTAACGTCATTTCTCGTATCATAGTTATCAACTTCCTGAAAACACATGCAATTTAAAATATACGTCAACATAAAGTTGGTGAGTCCACAGGTTTTGACTCCATATAAAAATAATACATTTTCCAAGTTCAAAAG